CCAGGCAAGCGTGCTACCGGTTGAGCTACATCCCCAGCCCGAGTTCTTGGTTAGTTTCTTCATTTGTTTTCCTTGGGGCCATTCAGAATACGGACATTTAGAATGGGATGGGCTAGACAGTCTAACAGCTACACATCCCTGGATCCCAGATGATGAGAAAGAGACTTGTCAAGAAATGCTAATGAATCTGTGCTACTGCTGCCTCTATACTGGTAACTCCTTCCCAAGCTGTTTGTGGTTCTTATACAGCTTTCTTATGTCATACTGTCTGAAGAGGTTCAGATGAAGAGAGAGCGATTGAGTCACTAACTCCTTGTTAATGCAAAGGAGAGAATAGTATTTCATAAGTTTTTTTTGTTGTTGTTTTTTTCTTTGCAGAATTCATCCTGTCTTGTTCTTGCAGCCCGGCATGCCAGTACTTCTACCACGGTAAGGCTTGAAAAAGAAAGACAAAAATCACTTACTACTTGGGGTAGTCTTACTCTTGGATAGTATGGGACAACCACCTATCCTCTTATTATCTTGAGTTTCCTGGAAGTATCTACTATTATTACCATGTAAAAGATAATTTACTCAATGATATAGTAAGATGGGAATAGCAAGCATTTTTACTTAAGATTTTTAAGTTTTTAGATTATAAAATATAGGTTTTTTGTTTTTGTTTTTGTTTTTCTTTTCTGGTGGTGCTATGATTCAAACTGAGGACATTACACATTAGGCAAGCATTTATCATTAAGATTCATCCTCAACCCTCTACATGATATAAAAGTTACCATTTATTTATTTTATTTTATTTTTAAATATTTTGCTTTCAGTTGTAGTTGGTCACAATACCTTTATTTTATTTATTTATTTTTATGTGGTGCTGAGGATCGAACCCAGCGCCTCACTCATGCTAGGCGAGCACTCTGCATTTGAGCCACAACCCCAGCCCCCAAAAGTTGTATTTTAATCTGTTAATCTTCCCACCACCACCACCAGGGATTGAACCCAGGGGCTCTTAACCCAGGAACTACATTCCTTTTTATTATTTCTATTTTTTTATTATTATTATTTTGTGTGTGTGTGTGGTGCCGGGGATTGAACCCAGGGACTTGTGTATGTGAGGCAAGCACTCTGCCAACTGAGCTATATCCCCAGCCTCTGTCTGTTTTTATCTTGAAACAGGGTGTTGCTAA